GTCACGCTGCCCCCGTCGGTGCCGGGGGGCGACTCGGGTAAAGTATGCGGGCTTCGGCCGTTCTGCCGGAGCCCGGCGCCTCTGTCCCCCGCTTCCCTTCAGACCGCACGCGGGACCGGGGCCTCCCTGCGTCCCAGAGCGCAGTGCGGGGCTGAGACGCACCAGGGACCGCTGCCCGTACCTGGTGCTGCGCTAGGTAGACGACCTCGGGGACGGGCGAGCGAGATCGGGGGCGCGTCCTGCAGAAGGTCGGGAAGGGCTTCCCGGAGGTGAGGCTTCACTGGAATCCGGAATGTCCAGCAGCCGGCCAGGGAGAGTATTTGGAGGGAGACCTTTGAAAAAGTGCAGACAAGGTGCAGCTCAAAGCTTGCTGCCTCTGTGGGAAAGAAGAGTCTGGCCGTGGGCCCTTTAAATGATCTGCACACTTGCTTTAGATTTGAGATCAGAAAGAAGGTCCTGGTTGTGATTCGGGTCCTGCTTCACTGCCAAGTTCAGTGGTTATCCAGGGATGCCTGTTGGCCGTTAGTTTTGTTAGAACGGTGCTGTAACTTCAGGCAGTGGATCTGTGGTCGTCTCCCAGGTTCCGTTAGGCAGGAGTCCGGCTCAGTCTGACCAGAGGCCACCGCCTGGTGCTGGCTGGGCTGCCGTCCTCCGCAGGCTCCGTTAGGCGAGCGTCTGCTTCGGAACTCAGTGCAGGTCTTTGCTGTGCCGCGGACTTCTTTCCGGAGAGAGCGTCTTCCTGACACCTGTCATTGTGGGCCCTAATCCTGGAATTGATATGCTGCGGCCCTGTTTTATTCCCGGAAGTGGGTAAATCCAGCCCAGTCCAGGGGAGAGGATTACACCAGAAATAGGGTTTGCTGGGGGCCGTCTTCAGCGGTGCCCACCACATCGAGGTCCCTTGATGTTCCGTTTTCCAGCTCATTACCTTCGCTTTTTCTTGCCTTGTTGAGCAAGTAGGAGTGCTGTTTCATTAGTGTAGTGAGAAGCACAGCTAGCACATTTCCAAGATTCATATTATAGTGGAAATAGCTTCATGTTTGTTTTAACATTGGAAAGCGTTATTCAGAGTTTAGGTAGTTTTGTTTCTTGCTAAAAAAAAAATTGACAGCTATTTAGAATTGTTTGGGCCTACTGTATGGGTGGGATGAGCAATAATAATCAGGTTTTACTGAGCACCCACCTGTGTGCCAGGTATTTGGTTCCGGTCCCCCCAGCTGCCCTGTGAGGAGGGCAGTGTTGTCTTCCCAGTGAAGGTGGGTGCACCTAAGGCCGTCGGAAAGAACCCGAGTGGATTAACTGTAGAATATACTCCTGCAAGCTCTACTCTCTGTCAAAGAAATGTAGGAGATTCTCCATTAAATCCGCTACCACATACATAGTGATATTTATCACTGTGGTTTCAACTGTGTTTTTTTTCCCCCAGAGAACAGAGTTCATGTATTTATCTTGAGTTACCAGAATTTTCAAGTGTTCTCATCTATTTGTCTAAATGTATCAAAATAGTGGTTGCTTCTACTTTTTTTATGTTTATTTTGGGGGATGATAAACTTTTCCAACTACATGGCAGTACGCATGGAAAATTTGTTTAATTATAGCTTTGACAATTTTACATGTTGAATGTACTGTTCTCCTTGAATGCTTATGAAATACGTTTTCTATCAATAAACAACCCATCTCCAAACCATAGTAAAGCATTTATTCTTCCCGTTAAATCTTAAGTTACACTCCATAAATCCATCACATTGTGTGGCTTGCCAAAATTAGTTTTGTTCTGCGTGATACGCATAGTTCATTTATGAGCAGGGTGGGGATCCAGCCTTCGCTGAGTTAACATATTTGGGTTTGTGTATTTGTCCTGTGGTTAGCAGACTTGTTATTTGACACTGTAGTACTATGTGACATTAAAAAGGAAGCGTTATGTGTCTTTGCATGCCGCCCCACAAATCTGGGTCCTAAATCTGAGTGCACTTCTGAATTCTTCCAGAAATTTGGGCCACGGTACCAGAGGGTCTGATTAGACTAAGGAGTTCGGCGTGTGGTCAGGGAATCTTCCACTGAAGCAAAGCTGTACAGTGACCCCGACAGGGTTGTGATGCAGGATGTAACGCTGAGGGAACGCCAGTGTGAAGGGCTGGGCAAAAAGAAGAGCTGCGAGGTGTTTTGTTTGAATCTTTTTTAACTAGTCACTTCCACTTTTCCTCATATTCAATTTAGAAGCATTATTTCCCTTCAGCTCTTTATCCCAGGGTACATTACAGGCTTTGAATAATGGCATCTTTTCTATTTGGATTTAAGTTTAACATTTAATAAGAGCTGATGAAAGTTTTCAAGATTCTAGATTTATTTTTACAGAATTGCTGATCTGATTTTTTAAAAAAATTTTTTGGTTGCTTTAAGACAGGGCTTCACTATGTAGTTTAGGCTGACCTTGAACTCACTGTGTAGCCCAGGCTGGCCTGGAATTTGAAACAATTCTCCTGCCTCAGCCTCTGGAATGCTCGGATTACAGACATGTGCCACCATAGTAAGCAAAAAAAAAAAAAAAAAAAAAAAAAAACAAAAAAAAAACCTGATTTTTTTTTAAATGGTAAAACTAAGCTAGAAAAAAGCAGCTATTTTTTCTTAATATTAAGTCTAGTTTACATTTTAAACGGGAGAGAATAGTGGCCTTGAAAGTTGGAACTCATGACATGCATTGTCATACAGAAATGTGAGAAAAAAATCTAATCAAAACAGTTGGGATCAGAGTACATAGAGCTAATCCGGTGTGGAGTACAACTATAGAATCATACTGGGAGTAGTTACAATTCTACACATTTTGGATTTTTGTGATGCTGCGAGCCTACATTGCGAGCTACTCAGGAGGCTGATTCAGGAAGATTGCAACGTCCAGCCTCAGCAATTTAAAGCTGTCTCGAAAAATAAAACTACTGAAAGATCGGGATGTAGCTCAGTGGTAGAGCTCTTGGCTGGTGCTGGCGTGTGAGGGCTGGGGTTCGAGTCCCAGCAGGATAGGGAGGAGATAGTAATCCGGATACAAAAGTACCTTGTTTCCAAGGGGCTGGTCACTCGTGTTCTTAAGTAATGGGTGGGCGTGAGGTGGGAGGAAAGGAGGCACTGAGAAGGCGGCTTGAGCTGGATCTTGAAGATTTAGCGGGGCATGCTGGGAAGATATCTCGGGGGGGGGGAATGAGTGGTAAGAGGAGCCGAGGAGGAGCACTGGGCATTAGAGATCACCGGGGTGAGCCCAGGTTTCAGAGACACAAGCCTAGGGACCTTGAATGACTGCCGAGGAGCTGGACTTCATTCAGCAAGGAAGGGGCAGCCACTGATCTTTGACACCGGGCTGGATCCAGCTGATGGTTTTGGTGTGGTGGGGGAGGAGGTGGCAGAGTGAATAATTTCAGTACGAAGCTGAGGTAAAGTTATCCACCGAGGCTTTTGCTATAGTGCAGGCCGGAGAAGGTAAAGGTCGGAACTTTAGGTGGGGCAGTAGAAATTAGAAGCAAAGTAGTTGTATCTATTGAAGGATAGAAAATGGGACATTAGTACTTTTCTAAATAAGTGAAAGTGGGCCGGGGATTTAGCTCAGCGGTTGGCAAGGACCCGAGTTCAGTCCCCAGTACCAAAACAAAGAAAACAAAAAAAACTCTAAATAAGTGAAAGTAACTTTCACAGATCAGCAGTGTTGACCAGTTTCCGACATTGTGTTGTGCCACAGTATAGAGGAAAGAGTCAGAAGGGGTCCCTGGATACTTAAAATATTAACAAATGGGCGTTGAATTACTGCGTCATAATGTTAGTCATAATCCCTAAGAGAAACTATGTGTAAAGAATATGTTATGAGTCACTTGTTGGGAAAAACGTACTACAGTAGAGTTTACCAAAAGAACCTAGATGGAAATTGTTTGACAGTGTCCAGCCTAACTAACGGAGACAAGGACAAACGTCAGTGTCCAGACCTCAGGCTTCTGCACACTTTATGTATCCTCGGATCACCCCTGTATTCATAGGCTGTGATAAGTTCTTGGGAGAACACAGTACATCACACTGATGCTACGTGAAAGCATTTTTATATGAACAAAGGAAGATGACTTTTAGGAGGGAAAATAAGCATTTGTTTTAAAACCCAAGATTCACCTGTATTTCCACTGACCAGTTGTTAAAAACTGTCAGAGACAGTCCGTTCAGTGAGACCTAAGGGGGGAGTATTCTTAGGCTATTTTATGCTGCTAAATCTCTACAGATTTAGTTTTATCCAGTCAAATTAATGCAAAACCCCAGTGCAAGCATTTGGGTTTTGAAAACTTTGGAGGAGTGTCACTCTGTAATAGTAATTATTGGTTTTACATTATTTTTTCACAGGGGAACTGATCACAGCCGCACATGAGCTTGGAGTAAGTATTAGTTTTATTGTTTAATCAATGCTCTCATTAACAGTTTTAGGAATTAAGAAAGTTTAATTAAGCATGGAATAAAGTAGATTAATTTATTTTAAACCCTAGTTTTTAGTAACTTATAAGTACAGTACGTGACAATTTAAGTTTTGAATCCAATTAAATTAAATTATAAAGCAAAGCCTTCACTATATATACAGTAGCTGGCTTATTATCACCCCAAATTTTGTTTAAGCTGTGGAGAATAAAATAAATCGGGTTAACAATTTTAATAAGTTTATTATTCAATAAACTTCATTACAGTGTGTGATCTCTTCAGGCAAGACCTCAGGACTGTCAGTGTGCTGGTAATCCCGTAGCAGTGTGGTCCTTTCCACGTTCTAACCAAGACCATGTTTCAGAACTTGCTTTTTTTCAGTAGTCTTAAATGACCCTAACGCACCGTGAACTAGAGAACAAAGTGCCTGAGAACCGACAATTGAAACACGCCATCCTTTCTCGAGGTGACGTGGTAGACCCTGCCGCATCCGCTACGGGAAATACTTCTGTGCGTTGGCAGAGGGCATCACTGTGGGAAGCACATGTAGTCCCCGGCACTTTTTACCTCCCTGACAAGAGGGCTACTTTTGGATTCCAGCCAGCGTGACTCTCCCTTCCCGGACGTGAACCTTCTAACTTCTGATTTTCTTTAGGTTGCCCATCCTCCCGGCTACCCTTTGTTCACGCTGGTGGCTAAGCTGGCAATGACGCTGTTGCCTTTTGGGACAGTTGCCTACCGGGTCAATCTCCTCTGTGGCTTATTTGGAGCGGTGGCCGCAGCATTACTGTTTTTCACTGTTTTCAGGTACAGTAGTTGATGAGTTAAAATTAATTTTTAGTAATGGGAGGTGTGGTTTCTTATGACCAGCCACATCTGAGGGTTTACCCAAGACCTGTGATTCCACTTTCTGAATACACATAATTCCGTGTACATTGGGCCTGCGCATGATCACACAGTTGGTTCTGCTGCGTACAATGGAGCGAAGGTGTTACAAGTTCGTTATCACCGGTCTCTGGTTAGGCAGAATTAATGCAGTTTGTCATTTTAGGAGGATGCAGAAGGGCCAGTTTAACTCAACAATACAGAGTTCGTCATTCTGTAAATGGTAAATATCATTTAATTACTAGCAGCGGTACTGAGGGGCAGAGGCATATCAGGCTGGCCTGAATCCACGTGTTATATTCCCGGTACTCTAAATGTGAGCATGTTGTATACTTTTTGAAAAGAAGTTGTTGGCCAAGAAAGTGACATTCGGGGTGGGGCTCATTTAAGTTTTCCCTTTGTTCTGTTATAGCCCTATGGAAGGTAGGCAAATCAGACCATTTACTTCACTAATGGAAGGCTTTCTTAGTTTGGCAGCTACTCTGCTTTTAAACTTAGGACATTGCTCTAAGATACTGGTTAGCTCATTTGTCTTTGATGTTTTTGTCTCCTCTATTCTTAGCCTAACTAATGCGCAAGAGAGTGATAATGAAAGACACAAATTATGCTTGGTGAAAAGGGAAAAATAAAGCGCTTCTTCAGAAAAGTTTTGATTTTTTTTTTTTAGTTTCATTTTGGATACCCGTATTTATAATGTAATAGCCATAATATTGCCCTTCAGCTAAATTCTTTCTAAATTCCCTTTTAACTGTAAGAAGGTAGAAGTTAACATAATTACAACTCCAAGGTTTACATTTAAATCTATTTTTAGAGAACATTTAGATTCAGATATTTTCATTGTTGATCATTTGCTAAGTTTTTAGTATATAGTTTAATGGTTTTTTTTTTTTACATGTTTTCAGTGACAGCCAGATCTTTACGAAAGGCTTCAAATAACATCTCTGGATTGATAAATGTTATGCATATACCCTCTTTCTAAGTGGTTAGAATAATTTTTATTAGAATTATTTCTTCTGAATCTTTTATAATTAAGAATTATCGGTATTTCCTTTGACAGAAGTCGATCTTTGTGTTTTTAAATATCTTCGTTGAAATTTGGAACGTAATCCATTTTATATGTTGAGTTAATTTTTACAGGTTTTGAGACAGTTAAAGGAAACGTAATACGTATTTTAGCATTTCATCTGCTTTTTATATAGCAAATCTTTTATATAGCAAACACATGTATTTAAATGTTACATAAATGTAAGTGCTTTTAGGCAAATGAAGTAATTCATTTTCTCACACTTTTCCATGTTTGTTAACATTGTTGATGCTATGCCATGTGAGAACCACTATAAAAATTATATCAAAAAATCTTTTCAGAATCTACACAGCTTTGGACAATAATTTTGTTTTGAGTTGTCCACATTTAAAAATAATTTTTCTTATGCTGATTATGTGACCTTTACATAAGCACAATAGCCTGTTGCCCTTTCTCTTTTACCATACAGCATTAATGATAAGTTTTTATACTTGCTGACGTGTTTTAAATCAAAACTCTGATACTACTACACAGGGTATTTGAGTGGCTTTACTAATAGAGTACTTTGGAAGAGTTGCTTTCTTTCCAAAAAGAGAGCTAACAGTATTATCTCTGACAGGCATTTTAATATGAAAATACTTCATTATTTTGAATACAAACCACTGACAAGGTACATGTCCTTGGGGACAACCTGGTTCAAGTGGCAGATCTGTTCTGTCAAACAATGGACGCCCTTCAGAAAGGAGAAGCCATCTCTATGGTAATAGGACTAACAGTGGCCTATTGATTGAGTGAAAGAAGACATTATACAGTGTCAGCTGGCTTGTTACAGTTTCATTTGTTGTATGACCTGAACTTACCCTCTGAAACCTTTCTCCTGTGAATATAAACCCAACAGCAGGACAGTTTTTGTGCAGCCGTTGCAGTGATGGCTTTTTCTCAGCCCTAGCATACAGTAAATACATTCCTTTCCAGGTGACTTCTCCACCAGAATTTGTTCAGGAGATATTTCTCTGTTTTATCCATTTATAAACCAAATCATCATCCATTCTGCTGAATATTGGAGGGCTTGATCCAGGAAACAGTTTTATCCTTTCTTTCCCCCATCACTTAAGAGAACATTACTGTACACATGGGATTAGTGCTGACTGGTGTGCAGTGAATTAATTCTTTTAACGGGTTTAGGGTTTTTTTCAGGTAATTGTTCACATAGCATTCACTATATTTAGCTCGTGGGGTGGACATAAAGACCTTCTGTACCTTTTAAACAAAGATTGTATTTCAAAAGCAAATTTCTGTTTAAATGTGTTGATGTTAAAAGCTCCATTTTTTTTTCAGTAAACATGACTTAGACTGAAAGAACAATTCCTTGTTTCCAATTACCATGTAATTTTTGCTTTTCTTACATTTTTCTCTTGCTTTTAAAAGCCATAAGATGTCATTAACACTGCATTTTTTGTCAGTCTTTCTTAATGGTTGGGCAAGAACTCATTTATATTTGCTTTGCTCTAACATAGAAAGCACATTAGTAAAACAGCCCAGTGAAAGTCATTGTGGTTTATTGAATTAAAAATAGTAAGAGTGTGGCAGTTTCTGTATTTATTTATGAGTTGTCCCCTTCAGGGGCATTTTTAAGCATGCATTATATTAGAGGCGTTCAATATATTTCCTTTATATGAAATAATACTCATTTAATTCAGGTATATATCTCTGTATTTAAGTTATGTAATGAAGTTAGTGATTTATAGAGCCTTTTTTTTTTCTGTTTTAAGACCAATGAAGTAAATGGTTTTAAATCTAATAGTATATTTAAAATGTTTTATTCTGTTTGAGTTATACACACCCTATCAATATAAAATTAAAAAGTTATAGGTAATATAAATCACAGATATGCGCACAACTTAACTTTGCTTAGTACTTGAATTTCAGAATCATTTTCTGGCAAGCAGAAAAAGGTCCTGTGTAGAAAATAGGGAGGGGTACTGAAGTCACTGTCCTCCACCATCTCTGCTTACATTTTACGTGTCCCAGTATCGCTGAAAGAGAGCGGATGTCTTGATGGCAGGGCATGATGATGCTTTACTGCAGGGAAGGGTTAACACGCTTATGACCTCAGAGGACAGCACATCTTACTCATTTTGGTACTTACAGGACAGCGACTGTATTTTTGACAGGCTTGAGAGTCAGCATATCCTTTTTACACTGTTAGTGGCCAAACGAATTATGGAAAGGCTGAAGCAGAAGGATAGCAAGTTTGAGTCCAGTCCAGGTAGTTTAGCATCTTAGCAAGACCCGGTTTCAAACTTAAAAAATAAAAAAAAGGGCTGAGGATGTAGCTTGATGCAAAGGCCCTGGGTTCAATCCCCAGGAAGTACAAGGAAAAAAAAATTTACCAAGTATTTGTGAATTGGAAGTAAAACTCTTAATTTTTATAATCAAATCTAGTGTATTTTTTAAAGTAAAATAAGTCACTAACCATTTAATAAGCAGTTTTTCAGATTTTTTTTCAAAAAGGCACTGTTTCTTGAAGCTTACATAAAAAACACTAATACCACTAACTGTATAGTAAGAAATCAGATCTCAGGCTGGGGATTTATCTCAGTGGCACCACACCTGTCTCGCAAGCTCAAGGTTGTGAGTTCGATCCCCAGTACCAAAAAAGAAGTCAGATCACTTAAGGTTTAGTAGGTCCCCTACAATATATTAATACTGATAATTAAAAGTATATAGAAGCTATGCCTGTTTACTACAAAGAATTTATCAATTTCAGCCATACTTCGCTGGGGATTTAGCTCAGCGGTTCTGTGGCCTGCCTTGCAAGCGCAAGGACCAGAGTTCAATCCCCAGTACCAAAAAAAAAAAAAAAA